TGTCCCACTGACTTTGCACACCTGGAATACGGGACTGGGCACTAGCTGTAAAAAGAGACGCATGCAGACTTATGCTAATGAGATCAAAATAAGCATAGACCTTAAGACCGCAGATTCTGGTGCTGCTGTGATAGAAGATGCTGTTCTCATATTAATAGCGTATCTGTGCAGTGATGGAAAAGCACTGGAAGAGCACTTTCGACTCTCTCCTGTTGGGATAAGTCACTTGATAAATGTCATCCCTTCCTGGGAACTCCTTTTCTTTATCTGCCAAGTTTTCAAGCTCGTGCATTTGCTTCATCTGTGCCCGACGTGTGCTGCTGCACTGAGCACTGGGTAGCTCAATTGACCCAGAACACAACGATTCACTAATCGCTCCTGGAGGGGAAACCAGCCGTTTGGGAGCGGAGCAGCGCTTCCAGCGTGCCCTCCTTGTGTATTTAACAGGACCGAATTGGTGGCAGGATGTCACGCACGGCTGTAGCGGTGGATATGCAGAGCCTGCTGTAATTAGCCCTCATTTCAACGAGGCACTGAGGCTTCGGGGTGGGGGTAGGGATGCAGAGAGGAAGGAAACACTTTTGCTGTATCGAGCGAGCGTTCCACGGAGGGATGAATCTTTCACCTGTCATACCACCATATGCAGACAACTGTAATTATGCTCAGGCACCCAGCATCATCCTTTACAGAGTTATATTCATTTTTATTGGTGGCAATTAATCTCTAGTCATATTTTCGAAGGAGAAAAAGTGAGTAAGTTAGCACGTTTGCCAGGGAATGTTAGCACGTGACCTGAAATATGGCAGCTCCCTTTGATGTAGCATCTCCCAAGAGAGCGCTAGCTATTTCAGACTCATCTCTCATGGTATTGACATCCACACATGCAGTCTAAAGGGAGCGTTTGTGCCTCCCTGACATCACCGCTCTCAGGTTGCTTTGTTTATTGATGGTATAGTAAAGTCTCTGTATCATTTTGACATTTTTAATGGCATATGCATTTACAGTGTAGCTCTTGTGTAAGCTTTAATCAGCTTTCTGTTCGCATGGTGTTGCTATTATTATTTATCTCTATTATGGTAGCACACAGAGGCGATCAACAGGAGCAGAATTAGACGGTGCTAGGCTTGGGTTGTATTTTGTGCCCATAGGAGAATCCTGGAGATTCCTGAGAGCGGCAGGCTTCCGTGGCTCTGGGGCTGCTTTGCCCTGTAGCTCAGAAACTGGATTCACTATCACGCTCCAGCTAGGATTTGCCACACTGATGTATATAGAAAAAAATATATCTTGGTTGCTAAAGTCTTTGGTTTCTTCTGTTTTTTTAATTTTCTAGCTGGAACTATTAGACCCCGTTCCCATAGCTAGTTACGCACTTGAGTAGTCTCACACATGAGTGGTCTGACTGAGCTCAGTGGAATTACTTGTATGAATAAGTACTCGGATTTAGCTTATCAACTCTGTATCTGCCTACCCTTGTAAAGGTACAGAAGTTACCATGTTGCAGATCTGTGAGTTATCACAATGTAAATATCACGTAATGTCCCAATGAAATCACGTAGGTAAAGAATTTATTTGCAACTCCATCTTCTGTCACTGCAATATGGGACTTAAAGGGAAGGGAAAAAGAAAACCAACAGGCACTGATGAACTTTAAGCAACACAGATCTTATTTTCATGTGAGATTACTGCAGTGTAAAATCAGGTGAGGATGATATTTCATTATCACAAATTTTACACTAACACATTGCCAACAAATTACACTCAATTCCCTTTGCAATTAAACAGCAGTGGATGAATTGATAAGGCATTAAATGGCTCTGCTCGTTGTGACATATATAGGACTTAAACCGATAGTTAAAGCAGAAAATCTTTACCATCCGAGGTAAAGACTTAAATCCCGAAGAGGCCAACATGTCATTGTGTATATATGATCCTGTCACTGGAGAGACAACAGGATGTTCACCGTGGTTATGCACGCATCCTATTACTCGGGTTTCAAACCATTTGGAGAACTGTAGTTAAATCCTGCTCGTGGTTGTGGGAACATAAGAAGGAGCCTAACACGTGCAAAGGCTGTATCAGGCACTGTGAACGAGACGTGGTACAAGCCCTGTCTTTTTGTAACTCTATTTTTTCCCGTGTCTTCCATGAATATTCGGATGTACTTTAATCCTCATTTTTATGTCCTCTCCCTAATAAATCCCCATGAAATTCACATTCTTAGTAGCTATTTGGTATGCCAAGCTGTTTTATTTCATAGATCATTAAAACATTTTGGCTAGCTACTTTAGGCTAAACATACTGAGTGTTGCAATGTGTGCTCACTGATGCCTTGTACTTAGAAGCCTTTGGAAAAATCTGTCTAACTGCCAGCTGGTTTTCTGGTCACTGCAGGCTTCTTTTATTATCCAGACTTGGGGTTTTATGATTTTACAACCAATTAGAGGAATTTCTGCTCTTTACTTCAGCATTTTGCTCTTCCCTTTGGCTAGATTGTGGAGTGAAATTTGGTACAGGGAAAAAGCAAGCATGTGACCAAATATAAATAGTAAATAATTGTTCAAATAAGATTGACTTACATAGAAGGATTTATGTTTGGGGCAGACACTGTAAATGTGAAACAAGGTGCTTGAGCTGATGATGGGAAATGGGTTTCCCTTCCTCGAAAAGGTTTGCTTTCCCCTTCGCTTTCTTTCAAAGTGAAAAACACAAACCGAGCAGACGAATCTGATGGTTGGAGCGCTCATCTGAGACATGGAAGACCAGGGATATAAGTCACATCTTCTAATGAGTGTTATTTATTCCTATTAAGCAAATTAATTGCAGCTGTAATTATATCAGCCCAGAGCAACGCACAGTCTGGCAGTCAGGGCTTTAATGTGAGGTGTGGTAAGGTAGGAATGAAGTCCCTGAAGCAGGCGGAGTCAAGTTTGATTCCTGCATTCCACATCCCCGTGCAAAGGGCTATCGGCTATGCCCGGGTGGTTCGGGTGTGTGCGTACCCTTTGTGGAGGTGTCGAACTCATCCCTCGACGTTCAAGTTCTGCAGGAAACAAAGCAGTGTTTCTGGAATGGAAATTACTGGGAAACTGCATCAGCTCCAGCAGATTTGCTCCTCGCCCCAGAAGGCTTACAGAGCCTTAGTGAATGTCTATGTGAAATAAAGACAGATCATCTCTTTCCACAGATTCTCAGTAATAATTTAAGACTTATAAAGAGTAAGATTTTGTTTGCTCGGCTCCCAGCGGTGTAAGAGAGGAACTATCATCCCTGTTTACAGCTGCGGGAAAAATGAGGCAAAGCAATAAAATATCTTGTGTGAGGCACAAGCAGGATGATGCACAGGGGTACGTTGCACGCTCTGCTTTCTGCAGGCTGTGAAACCATCTCTCTACACGTGCATCCTGTCAGACCCTGCAGATCCTTCGGGACAGCCTAGAATTGTCTTGTCATGGGTTTATTTTGGCCTTTGACACTCTTCCTCAAGAAACACAAGTTTGTAAATTGGTAATCAATCAGTAGCACGAGTTGAGTAAAGTCTCTCTTCTTTTTCTGCTGAGTATCCTCAGACTGACCAATGAGTATCCTGCTGCTCAAGAAGAAAGACAAAAAGATTGCCCAAATTAACAGTCATCCAGCGTGGGTTCATAGCCACGTGCCATAGAAGGGGAGGGCTATGAAATTTCTAGGATGAGAGCGTCAGGCTTAAATGGGCTTTACATTTACCTTGCTACGCCTGGAAGCAGAGATCCAGGCCTGAGAAGCAGCGAGTGTCACGCGGGGATTAGTTTACATGTTTGCAAAGAGAAGCGTTTGTGAAGACTGCTGTGGTGCTGGGATTACACACCCGTTTCCTGCGTGGCAGTGGATTTTACACTAGAGGAATTGTTGGAATAATTGAAACCAGCTCTCTGAGCATATCCAGCTGTACCTGGAAAATGATCTGTAACTGTGTCTTTACCAGGGATTTTGCCAGCAACTCTATCCTGAACAGAATGATGACTTTTTCACCCTTGGCATAGCTGTACGAAAGGCTGCTAAGTGGAGGGTAGGACTACTGAAGAAATCCTTGTTTTTCTGCTGACCATTTACTAAGGAAACCTCAACCTCTGGGTGTTCGCCTTGAGCTGCCTGCTTCGTGTGCATACGTGTAAAGCGGGTGTTTTGCAGGTGCTGACTGCCGCTTCTATAGCAAGTCAGGATGGAGCTGTGTCTGTAGCGCTGACTTCCCTCTCTCATCCTGCCTAAGGTCCGCAAACAAGGAGGAGGGATCGGGCAGGATTGTCACGTGAAGGGATCTCACTGTGCTTCAGGGAACCTCCACTCTGCGCCGGTGGCCACAGGGTTTGGGGGGCCTTCTGTAGTGCTAGTACCTACTGTTACCAGCACGGAAATTACCTGACGTACACACTCCATACCTTCATCCCTAAGCCTGGTCAGCCTCATGAAATCCCATCTCCAATGTTATTTTCTTCCCTACCACCCCTTTATTTGAGAAAAAAAAACCCTCACACCAAACCAAACCAAAAAACAACACCAAAGGAGAAAGTCTTCTTTAGATTATCATATTTATTATCTTATGGGAACAGTGCAAAGAAACAATATTTGATGACATTATTAAATCTACAGGATTTGCTTGGCAATACTACCTGCCATTAACTACACTGCAGTCAGGATGTGATCCTCTGCATCTAATTCCACTATAAATTCATTCCTTCCAGCTATCTAAGAGCACTAAGAAACAGGATATTAAAAGATTTAGGTCCTGATCCAGTAAGGGTGTTAAACAAATCCTCGAATTTAGGTATATAACTAGAGCTGTTGTCTCCTTGCATGTGTCGGTGGACCAGGGGGGTGCTTTTCGAAAGTCTGAGGGCCCTTTAGACAGTTCCTGGTATTAACGGTGCCTCTGCCTGCTTGCCGACCTAAGCGTAAGAGGCTGAGACGAGCCGCTTGCGATGCACTTTCCTAACCATCTTGGTAAACGACTGTATGTTTTCCAGGTTGCGATAGCGATCACTGGGGACCCCACTGCAGCAACCGCTGCCAGTGTCAGAACGAAGCTCTCTGCAACCCCATCACGGGCGCCTGCGTCTGCGCAGATGGGTACCGAGGATGGCGCTGTGAAGAGCTCTGTGACCCTGGGAGCTACGGCAAGGGCTGCCAGTTTAAATGCCAATGTCACAACGGAGCTACCTGCGACCATAAAACGGGAGAATGTCACTGTGCTCCCGGATACACGGGGGTATTGTAAGTTCAATGATAGGTGTATTTTACTCCGCATCTTTTAACAGCCTTGCTGTGACCGCTTTTAATGCAATGAGTAATTGGCCAAATTTACGCAATCTCTCTATTATACGCTTTCCTTTGTAGAAATCAGGTAACGGAATGTCAGAGAGACTAAATAAAGGAAAATCTTTTTTTGCTGATAATTATGCCTGTCTGCATAGTAAAATAAAATTTAGTGCTAAAGTGAACTTAAAAATCCATTATATTTTCCAGCTTGTACAACAACTGTACCTGCTCCTAATTTCCGTATGTGAATACAATCCAAATTACAGTTGAGTTTTTATAAGCAATTGGACACTCAACTCATTAGCAGTCCAGTGCAGTATCAAATGGGACTTACCATCCCCAATTTATTTGACTTTCAATCTAACTGAGGAAGCATTACTGTTAACTATATCAGCTTACTATCTAGGGGGTAAATTTTTAGCATAGTGAGCAGGGATTTAGTGGTGTGACTCCTATTAACTTTAACGAGAATCATGGAGCTAAATCCCCATCCACCACACTGAAAGTTTACCGGTAGGATTCACAAAATCTGCATATTAATTTTAGGACAGCAAGCAATAGTTCCTTGTTTAAAATTGCCCACAGTGTAACATCAGTTCTCATTAGAGATCTTTCAGTACTTTCAGACGTAATTATGTTTTTCAAAATTATTTAAGGGGAAAGAGAATTCAGTCGCTGAATTTGGTTGGAGATCTATTGCAGGTGACTTAATACTTCTGCAGTCTAATATTATTTGTTGACCTGCATGAAGGGGAAGGTGAAAAATAAAGACAATATTAACCCTCATAAATAAGTGATATGCCTTTTGAATATTTTATTTAGTACCTGATTTCCTCATAGACTTGTGACCTCAGTCCTGGAAGTGCTCACTGTTAAAGACTCTGCTTACTATTAGGAGTGGTTCCATTGACATTACTATCTCATTTCTCAGCAGTAAGTACTTGCAGGGCCAACCACCGATGTATTGTACGAACATCCTCATCAGAGGATAGTCAGTAAGGGAAGAACCTACTGTAGTTTCAGAGCCTGGGATCGGAGAGAGGTGATGCTGAAAAGCACCAATATGCAAATGTAGGAGACTGGTTTTTGCGGGGACCAGCCTTACACTGGCTCCCCATGAGTACTGAGAGAGACCCAACAAGTTTAAATAGCCTTTAAATGATGCAGAGGTTTTGCCAGTCCATTATACACTGCAAATGTTAACATTTAGAAGTGACTGGAGAAATTTCAAGCATTTTAATCCCATCCTTTTATTCTGTTTGCAGCTTCTTTTCTTGCCATGTCACATAATTCACATTGAGGGCTTCGTCCTGCAACTCCTACTTTCCTGGCCTGTTTTAGTGGATATCAGTTGTCCTGTTGAGAGGGGTGGAATTTGGTACATGCATAAAGATTACACACGTGCATCAGCCTTACACAACTGGGTCCACGGCACATAAATAACCCCAGCAGAAATAAAAGAAATCTTGGCTAATTTGTAATGCCAGCTGAGGCTTACTGAGTTTTCATACTTTGCATGAGGACTCCCGTGATGATGTGTGTTGTGGATTTTCCTCATTTACTGTTTCCAGGAAGTTCTTTTAAATAATCTCTTTGGTTTTTTGTTTCTTCTCTCTCCACAAAGCTGTGAAGAGCGCTGTCCCCCAGGCAGTCACGGAGCTCAGTGTGAATTGCGCTGCCCTTGCCAGAACGGAGGAGTCTGCCACCACATCACCGGAGAGTGCTCCTGTCCTCCTGGATGGATGGTGTGTACTTTGTTCTTACTCGTCCCTCAGGTAGAGATTGGAATAGGAAGTTAATTGTTCGCTGTCTCAGCAGACACCTTCCCTGTGTGCTTGTGATGCGTATCTGCTATTTCTTGTCACGAGGCTGTAACAGTTCTGACACTGGGACCACCTTTGTTTTAGGTGTGCACAGCACTTACGCAGGCAGGCCACCAGCCTGCGACTGGTAGCTACCGTCACAGAGTTAAACAACAGTAAACCAAGCAGTGACTACTCGTTACACTTCTGTGTGGGAGAAGAGGCAAAAGAATTGTCTCTGAATTCCAGTTCCTTGGAATATTCCCTGCACCCTCATGGGGACAGAAAGCTCAAAGCTCAGCTCAGCGTTGTCAAAAGCCCTGTCCTGTTTCCCCTTCCGGAGAGAGGGAGAAGCCGGGGGGATTCACTGGCTCAGGCAGTTGTTAAAGCAGGACTAAAGGTAGGACGCAGAGCCCAGTTCCGTGTCCTGTCCTTACTCAGGCGTAATTCCCATTGATTGCAAAAGATTTGCTTGCATCAGGGGTTGCGCTGGAGAGAGCAAATTGCCCTAACCTTTAATCCTTTATGTTAAGAAGGCAAGGCCAAACATTTTAAAAGTCCTCAACTTTATCAATAATGTAATAATTAACTCTCTTGGGGTTTGCCAAGTCTCACAGGCCAACATACCATTTAGCTATACTAAACTTCCTGGCATTTTTCCTGTATCTGACAATTAGTCTCTTGGCAGTCTTGCTGGATTTTAATACATACAACTACCGTGACTTTTTATTTTAATACGTGGAAGACCCTGAAGATCATCATACAACTTTGGTTTCTGATGTGGACTTTATACCTGTTGAAACATTTCAGGGCTGAGAAAGATGTTTGTGTTCCTTTGGATTAGTACAGCAAATGCTGATCACACATCTGCTTTTAGTAAAAAAGTTAAAAAGTACCAACCAGGAGATTCTGGTGACTATCGGGCAGCAACGTGGGAGAAGAACATTGCTGCACATAGCAGCTGTGTACGGAAAATCTCTAACTTGAGAGTCAGAGCCTCTCTAACTTGGCCAGTCATGGCAAAGGAGATGATGACAAATGACAAAGCAGGCAAAACTTTTCAGAAACTTAAGTAAGAATATGGCACCTTACTCTCAACTGGCATTCAGTGGAGACAAAGAAAAGGTTCTTTCCTAAAGAGTGCTGGAGCTAAAGCATACAGGAAGCAATTCAAATATTTTTGGGGGCCTATCAGTCCATTCTGGCAGTACCCCTAAGAAGTGATCGATAAAGCGATTAACATAAAAATAGTACTTTTAGGGTATTTTTTTCACCTCCCCTTACCTTCTGCATGCCAATATTTCTGAGGATCTGAGTTGTTTTGCTGTTCTCTTCCTTACCTGTATTTTATCTCTTTTTTTGCAATATTAAAAAATCACTAAAGAGATATAAGACTATCAGAATAGAGCAGGAAGTTTTTCGAGGTCTTTTAGGATGCAGCATAGACCCTAAAGAAGAACCACGGCACTGGGGCCGCGCAGCAGCTGCGGTCGTGTATTCTGGCCCACTTCTGCCCTGTTCCTTGCAGCTTGGAGTTTCTTCTCTGCGTTTTTAGTGGCCCAGAGAGACTTTCCTGAAAACTGTGTTTGCTCTGTCCCCAGAGAAACCCTAGAGTTAACAATTGATGTTTGAAACAAGCGTAACTGAAAATTGAAGAGAGAGATCAAGTAATCCGGGGAAAGAAACTGAAATTATAAGTAAAAGCACTCAGCTTGTAAATGTTGAGATTTTAAGTATAAAGGGTCTCTCCAGGGTTTTAATGAAAAGCTGGTAATTCAGTACACAGAGCGAGAAAAAGATTTTTTTTTTCATGCTATATTTTTAACTCTTGGTGGCTGGAATGGTTTGGGAAGTGAGACATGAGTGGGTTGTAAACGAGCAAGCGAGATGGGATTGCTAGACAGCATTCATTTTATTTCACACCATGGATAGTCTTTCTTTGACATCGGGAATTTTACTTGCTGATTTTGAAGCTTGAGACTGCACGTATGTATTGAATATACCATCACGTTGGAAGGAGAGAATTCTCCCTGGATTTATACAAGTGCAAATCCACTTGGATTTTATTGCTGCTGGATGAGCTGAGACTTTTATCCTTTCCTAGGGTAGGCTTATTAAGAGCAGCTCAGCTCCCTTAGGGGCTTGGTTGCCTGTGGGGTGTGCAAGGAGAGGCAATAAGTTGAATAGGAGGAAATTCTAGGGTTCTTAGGTTCTTCCTTGGATCTGCCATCTTCAAAGCCTGCTTCTTTTATTACTTGCAATATTTCTTTCTTCCAGTTTCCTCCCACCCAGTGCAGACTCTCCCAGAAGCACACGTTATACGAACTGTGTCCTGTGAGATTTTACCGTCCCATGGGTTTTTCACCAAGAGGATGATGACTAACAGCATATATTGTTGAACTAGTCAACAAAATGTGGCTTCCAGCATACTATGATGTTGGGCTTTTTCCGTTTCTGTGTCTTTGTGGCTGTGGGAGTTAGTGGGTGGCTGCTTTAGGGCCTCATTACCTATTTACAGGTTTAATTCTATACATCTTTCTCATTTGCAGTATTAAATTCTCCAAGCACTCTCAGGAAGTGAGGAGGGAAGTTAAATTTAGTATTTACAATGCTTCTCAGGAACACTTTTGAAGGACTGGATCTCCGTGCTCAGGAAAGCAGCAATCTTTCCTTACATGACAGAACATTTGTCACTGGCAACGCATCCTGTTCCGTCCCAGATCCCATCCTCCAGGCTCTGCATCATGGTGCCATGTTTCTGCTAATCACTTCTTTCTCATTGCCTCTGGGCTTTATGAAGCAACTATAATCCGTATTTTTGTCTATTTTTACTTTCTCTTGTGGATTTTAAACATAGGGGTGTGTGAGAAAATGGAGCAGAAAAAAATCCTTTCTATACTACAAAAAAGTAATAATATAGCAAACGCTGTCAAAAGCAGAAGCTGATGAGATTAGGGCCTTGAAAAAAAAGGTGCTGATGGGGTGAACTTTACTGATTAGATGTATAAGCAGCAGGAAATGTTGGTCTGACATTTGATCCTCCAGAGAGCGATGTTTTGGATTCCCTTAGTACATATTAATGCAAAGAGTATGCCTAAAGATTCTCTTGGCTCCGGGGGGATGCATCACAGAGTATTGCTTTCTCATCATTTGTTGATAGAAATCCTGTTCCTTTTGAGACGTGAAGAGAGAAAGTATTTATTATCAAGATAAATGGATAGTTACATTTTCAGATATATAGTGTTGTGTATTACTCATGTCCAGAGACACCAGTTTTTTAACACTGTAATCTGAATGTTCTTGAACTGAGGCCAACCTGTCTGTTTTACAGCCAAGGAGCCACCTATCACTGGTCAGGAAAGGTTTGAAGTATCTGGTTTATGATTCCATGGAAGAGCAGCCTCTCCGCTTTGGGGTTGCTGATCTTGCTAAACTTCCCAAACTGTCGAGCGAGATCCCCAAGGAGTGAAAGCAGCCATTATGTTCCTGGTTTATGTTTTGTATAAGTTTTGTCTAATACGTGCCTTGTTCAAAGCTCAGAGCCCCTGGGGCGTGGTTAGGGAAATAAGACTTCTGAGAGATTAAACCAAAATAATAATAGGGACAGAAAAACATCGTTTCTATCAAAGACTGTGTGCTGTGCGTGGCACTGGCAGCAGCACCACTTCCTACAGCTGCCAAACGTATTCCGTTATAGGGCCCAACTTCAGATCCCAGCACTGCCAGACTTGTTTTGGCTGAAGTTACTCAGCTGGATGCCAGCCTCAGTTGTTATGTTTGCTTACATAAAAAAACATTCATACAACTTCTAAGAAAGTCTAGGGAAATCCTTCGGAGGCCTTGATACTTGGCAAGGTTATGTGATACTTGAGGGAAAACCACCTGAGCTTGGCACATAAATTCTCCAAGGACACAACCCATGGTAAGCGTTCTCTGCCTTGGGGCTGAACATCTGGAACAAGGCTTGCCCAGCAATTGCTTTTCCTGAGGAGCAGTTCCAGGGTGCACAATCAAGAACGACAGTCCGTCTTCACTTTCCGGGATGGTTGAGCAGGGAGGGGAAGGAGGAAATAACTCAGACGTGGGGATTTGGGTCTGGATGAAGGACTAAAAGGGAGTCTGCAACAAGGATTTGGGGTAGACTGGAATGAAGAGCCAGGAGAGCAGAGGGCTGGGAGAACAAAATGGGGGAAGGAGGTAGCCACCGAAATGTGGAGCTCAGGCAGGTCAGGGACTAAGATATGTCTCCAAGGTTGGGGATGAGGAGCTGGGAGCCTGTTGGATGATGCATCCAGCCAGTGTTCAGGGATTAAGCAGATTTTCCATTGCAAAATCACTTTTTCTGGCCAAAAGGCTGCTGCACTGCTGGTGTGGAGAGTCAAGATGCTTCTGTGTCATCACTGGTGGCTTTCTGCAACTGTCCCAGTGTCTTGTTCCCATCCTGCCTCCTCCATGGCTTAGACAAAGCACTGGCAGATGTCATTCTGTGCTGCTTGAAGACATGAGTGTGGGGCTTCATGAGCATGAATGTAATGAAGTAGGTAGGATCTAAGAGTAGTAGAGACTTCTGCAGCAGTTGGATTTGGTCTTCTAGGATGGAGTAGGGCAGTCTGAACAGGGAGGATCATCATAGACTATCACAACTAGCAGAACTTCATCTTCCCCGTGCAGCCTTTCCAACAATCCCCCTCTTCCCAAACGTTCGCTTTGTGACATTTACCCAGGGTAGGTCCAACAACTTTTCTGACTCTCTGTTTCACAAAAAACTCAGCTTTGTAACCTTCTCTGGTTGCCTTTAACCTCTCCCAAGCTTTCCTGCATCTATTCAAGGGGCAGTGAATATCCTGTCACCCAGCTGCAGTTTACGGGGAAGATCCACAGAAGAGAATTATCAGTGACTGTACAGTGGCGAGAAAAATCCCTTCTGGAGGTAGGGTAGACAGGCTTTTACTCTGGTAGCAGGATTTTGAGACTGTCTTTAGCCCATCTTAAACAGAAAAAATATTGCCGCTACACTTAGATCTAGTTTTAGCAAGAAGGACTATAAATATCCAAGCCGCATATAGAAATTCATTGCATTATGAATGTTGACTGAAATATTGCTCTTTCTGTAACCTTACCAGGGGCTGGTGTGCGCACAGCCGTGTCCTCCTGGAACATTTGGGATTAACTGCAGCCAGGACTGTCCATGCCACAACGGAGGACACTGTGATCCCGTGACAGGAAAATGTGTCTGTGCAGCTGGCTATATAGGAGACAGGTAAAAAAATCAAAATCCTTTAGTTTTAACCATGGATTGGCAATATTTATATCCTTTCTAGGACAATCTTACTCTCTGAAAAATGGTGTTATGTTTCTATTGCTCCAATTAGGTTCATCCTTCTGAAGCAGTTCAAGCATTATAAATGTGGCAATGTTATTACTTTTTATTGGCAATGCTCTCCATTTACAGGTTTTTTTAATATAACTTTTAAAATTTAATGGATTAAATTTAATTTAGATATTTACAGTGATAAATTTAATAGAGAGCATTACATGTTTACAAGATATGTAAATGAACTATATTTATACAAATTAATATCCTCAAGAGTAAGCAATGCAGCAGTTTAATGTTTCCCTCAGCCTCTCCGTGCTGCTGCAGCACTGATCCATCTCAGACACCAACAAAAGGTGATAAATCCTCAAAATTTATAAATGAGAGCCTTCACCCATAAATCGATCAGAAAAGGTGATAATATTGTTTTACAAAGGCGTCACGGATTTAGCAAAATGACTACACAGCAAAATCAAGGTGGGACTGTAACACGTGTTGGCTGATCCTGCCGGCAGAGCTAACGGTGGGGGGGAAGCTGCAGTTCAACAGGCTTTCACAGGCGGTTGTCACCAGCGGCTGGACTGTGTCACCAGGGTTTCCAGAGACCGCGGGCACAGCTCCCTCGTGTACGCAATGCTAAAGCCCTTTCTCCTGCATCTTCCCGTTTTTAATTAGCTAGAACAAGCTAGTATCAGTATACTGACATATGCTACAATTATACCTTTATGCAGGAAAGCTCATTGGAATTTCTTGTTTCTTGCTTCATTGTACGATCAGCAAGTCTTTATGGCACGCACACAGACCAGCGCTCGGCGCTGCGCCGGGGTTCAGAAGGCCGTGTTCTTTCCCGTTAAGTGTGGAAGCTCCTTGTTTCCATTTTATCGACAGCGGTAATTGGAGGGGACTCTGGATATTATATCATGATTTGTGTGTTGTTAAATATGGTGGAAACACTAATTATTTCAAATTAATTTAGTGGAGAAGACATCAGTGTGTCTCTCTTCCCCCATTCCCCATCTGGAGACAGTGATTTCAGCCATAGAGTACCATGTAATTACTGTTGCTAACCACAGCTTTCTCTTTCTCTCCTTTTGGAGACAATTTCACTAAAGGAAGCAGCTGTGCAGCCTGGACACTTGTACTGGTGACCCCACTTCAGTCCCCAGCCGTCCCCAGCCCTGGCCATGCTCAGGAAGGCTGAAGAGGACCTCCATCTCCAGACAGGAGTTCACAAGAGTTGTCCTTGAGCAAAGGGAGCGTGGGCTCTGCAGATCTGTACTTGCAGAAACGTGAGAGAGGTTTGGCTCGGGAAGATAGAAGCAGGGAGGGAGAAAATAAGCAGTCGGAAGAGGTGGAAAAGAAGCTGAGGGAAGGTCTCAATGCGGACCTGCACCCAAGCAAATCCCTTAGGAATGGCTCTCCTGCCACCTCCTGCAGCAGGGACATAAAAGGGAGACACTGAAGGGAGAGGCAGAAGAGCAGAAATGCAGGCGTGAGAAGGGTGAACGAGAACAGGAGCAAGTCAGGTAAACCGGCAGTTCAGAAAGCTTTTCTAGCAGCAGGAAAAAACTGCGTTAGCCTAGAAATTCCCACCTTTCAAACGGGTTCTTAGAAGGTTAAAACGTGTTTATCTATCAGCCCTTAGTCAGCCTTCAATAAGGGAAGTGAAACCTTAGGCCCGTTATACTTGGTCGGAGTTCTGCCTCTCGCTTGGGCTAGGACAGCGCGTTGCCTGCAACGGTTTGCTCGGAGCAGGCGCACGTGCCCTCCCCTTGCTGTTAACTACAGTTAGCTAATGTGGATTGCCCATTGATTGCAGTGAGGGCAGGAGCAGGCACAGTGTCTTTAAAAAGTCTAAATTCCTTTCCTTGGTTATGTGTTCATCCAGCACGGGCAATGGGACAGATTAGCAGCATTGTATCTTAAAGTCTGTTTTACTTTCTGGATCTCGTGCAATGGTTGCAGCGTTACGGTGGAAGTGCAAGTATAACAGGAGAGTGCTGCTGCACAACAAAATAGCGTTTTCTCTAAAATTTTACGAGGCGCTGAAAACATTTTCTTAATAATAAAAGATACTGTGAATAACAACATAAACACATTTTATCTACTATCATCTTTTTAAATTGTCAATAGGTACTATATGATACCGTAGTTCATCTTCTTGTGCAGAAGATAATAACGTATAGTTAGATAAATATTTGTGGGGATGAAACAGTCACAAAGGTGTATGTAAGTGTAATTGCCACACTCAGTTCCCTCCCTGTTTTCCAGGAACTGGCACAGCACTAATTATCTGGCAAGCACTATTAATAACTCCAGGCAGTTAAAATGACTGGATCCGTCATGTAAATGTATGTTTTGCAAACTGGAAAGGAATAATAGCAGAAGCACAGTTAGAAGCTGAGGATGAGGTGTCTAAGAATTCGATGGCTGACAGGAAAAGGAAACATACTGGTTTAGCTCTGGTTTCCATATTGCCATTAAACCTAAAGATTGAATCTTAGCAGAATAAATACTACCTCCGTTATAACAATATGAGCAGAGTTATGCTCCTGTTGTTGTGTTTGTATCCGCATCTTTTATCGACATAACGGCAATCTCCACGTTAGCGTGTTTCGAATGGCTTTTACTATTTGTCTGTGCTACCTAAATGTGATCACTGTTTCAAAACAAACAAACAAACAAGCCTAAAAGACTTTACAGCATTATTCCATGAAAAAATTTCTCTGGAAAAAATGTAGGTGTATGTACCAAGTTAATTTGTTAAGCAGGCTGTCTTATGTTTAATATTTTGTGAAATTGCTTCCATTAATTCTACAGGTGACAGCCATATTATCCTATCCCAACCCAAATAATTATAGTACATATTAAAGTTCAGTGGATATTATAATACAGATCTCCCCAGATAGGCAGAAAGCAATGTAAATTAAACAAGAAACATAACTAGGGCTTAGCAGCTCATTTTGTAATTTAATTGAACAATGTATCTGGTTGTTAATGGTGCTATGGACACATTAGATTGATATGTTGCAAAGGAAAGATGTTTTCCTGCTGTGATTATTCTTATGTTCCAGAGGAGTCATTATTAGTATTCTTTGTATAAAATTCATTAGCGGTAGCTGCTTGATCTCCAAATAAATAAGTTGGTTAAATTGTTAGTAGAAAAAGGCTAATTATGTAAATGGATTAGGTCGTCAATATTTCATTTCCAGATGCTTTTCTCCCTGCTAGGTAATGCTTCATCTTCTATAAATATAGAATGATACAGTGCACTATTGACTAAGTATTCATCTCGTTGAGTACAGTGCTCTCCCACTAACTAGTAGAGCTGTATACAGCAACGGAGACATAAGGCATCTTCGTACGTTCTTCATTGCATTTCATTTGCTTTAAGTGTTTCAGTCCTAACGTTACCCGTTCTGTGCTGGTTCTTTGGAGCTGAGCTACCCTGAGAGCCGCAGGATTAGCTGCCAGTACCGCCAGTGTTTGTTTGTCACAGGCTGCTCTCAGTCTGGGTCTCAAGGAACTCCTGAACTCAGATTGCGGAACTCACAACTGTGTTGACGCCTGCTGCAATTAAATCACTAGCTAGGCCTTTTGCTTTGTTCGTTTATTTTTAGTAAAACGTGATAATCTGAAGCTGCAAAAGTAATGATCTCCTTATATACTGACTGTGTTCACTGCAGTTTTGCCTGGCTTGCATCACACATTAATCTTTTATTACTGATCATTATATTAACTCTCACCTGCCAGCTGTGAAATGACCTGCAGAAAGACGTTTAACAATTGCCTCTATCCACTGAGTTTACAGTATACACTTTAATCAATGCTCAGGATTAAATTAATGCTGATAGGCAATTCCCAATATCTGGCATCCATGCGATAAGGGAATTGGGCTTTTCTGGACTTCTTTTTCTTTTTTTATTAACTGAAAAGGCATATCTGTATTTCACGGTGGATCATGTAAACTGTAGTACTGACTCATTGCAGAATTTTGAAACCACTGAATTATGTCAAGCACAGAATCAGTTGCTTGCTTTAGGACCTTAGCTGAGCTTTTCAAAGTAGGAAATATTATGAACGCTCAACCTGGTTGTGTAGGACAACGAAACAGACTTTTTTTGGCAGATTTCATAATGTATCCAGTAGGGAAATATTTTAAACAGTGCATGGAAGGTGCAATTTAAAGCAATCTGGGTATAGTGTTTGCAGGTTCCATTTTTATGTGTATCAAATATTAAAAATGTTGGCAATTTTGGAGAAGATACTACACTAAGGAGCATGGAAGTGATTTGTCTTGAGATTTTATACTACTGAGCATCCCCGGAGTAAGAGATTAAAAGCAAATTTGAGCTTTAGTTACTCAGAACACACACAAGAGACAAAGGAGTATATTTTCTCCTAGTTGGTACGAAGCTGGTGCAACGACAGCATGGAGGGGAAGTAAAACTCTACGTTGCTGGAGAACGCTTTACTCAATATTGCTTAACCCACCACGTTTCCTTTCAATCCTCATTATCACTAAGAGGACCGTATGCTTTTAAGGAAGGTGCGCAATCCTTCTGTAGTAAAGAGGAAGCAAACTTGAGGGGTTTTTTATAAGGTATCTCATTCTATATCAATTTCTTATGCTTGATGAATGGAATTGTCAAGGTCCGAGAAACAAGAATGCACTTCTTTTTGTTAACTAAGGTAATATTAACTAATGCAAATTTTGCAGGACATAATTGGACAGACATTAATGCACTTTCAGTTTGCAGCAATTTACAAACTCAAGATATCACAACGCTCAAGGATATCATCAGTTCACAGTATGTTACTTAAATAAATGAGCAATGATTTTGTACTTCATTCATTAACAAAAACATTCCCGTGTAAAAGTCATAAGCAAACCAGACTGAGCGTTTGATTGGATCCTGTCTCACGTCTGTCATTGCAGGTGTCAAGAAGAGTGTCCGATTGGGACATACGGCTTTCAGTGCACACAAAGATGTGACTGCCAAAATGGTGCAAAGTGTTATCATGTAAATGGAGCGTGTATGTGTGACCCTGGATTTAAAGGGATTTATTGCCAAGAAAGAATGTGTCCAGAAGGGTTTTACGGCCTCAAATGCAACAAGAGATGTCCTTGCAATATTGCCAACACTCTCAGGTATGTACATCCTATTATATACTAGTGCAGGGACTGGTCAAATACATGCATTGAGAAAAAGCTAAATTATCTACACCCACTCCCTTTTCTCTCCGTAGTTTTAGTTAAGAATACAGGCAGTTCCTCTGGATTGCAGCCTTTGATGTAAATGACCTCAGGTTTGGAACCATAAGCCTCAGTCCAGCCAGCTACTAAGCATGTATCTGTTTTAACTATGTGAAGAGTTCTGCTAAAATCTGAAAAAAATCTGACATAAGGCCTTAACCTGTAACTGCAGTCTTTTAGGCACAAGAACTATCATATGATGCCCATATGCATGTATAATAACCCATTGAAGTTTAAAAAAAATATATATATTTACTCAAATCCATCATTTTGGCTCTTTTTATGGCATGGGGTTTTCTTGTTAGATCTATAGACAGCAAGGGGACTTTCAAAATGAAACCTAATTTGCTTCAGTTTATGTCTCGTAGCAAATTACCTTGTTGAAAACACTTGAGGCAGATGTATAAATAGACTGAAATCAATATCCCTAAGTCAGTCTATGGTACTGTAACGAAGTCGACATTGTCAAAATAGACATCTCTTCTCATGTGTCCCTATTTTGGCTCTTCATTCAGTACGTGTATGTGTGAAATATTCAGGAAAATAAATATCAGGCAAGTATACCTAAAATGGAATAAGCCTCACTTAAAAGGTCAGGTTTCAATATTTTATTCCCTTTTGCTTTTTTTAGGATCTGATTCTTGAGGTTCTCATTACTAAGGGCTAGAGCCACAGACAGACTTGAGCACCTAACACGAGGAGGTTGAGTCTACTTTCCCATTGCAGGCTTGAATAAGTTCTCTGAACCCTGAAAAAAAGACGAATTTAAGACTCTTCCCTATTATCCCATTTCTTACCTTTTCTAACTCCTCGCCTTGTTTGCTGACTACTGGAATTGCTATTTGGAGGTTCCTCGCTCTCTCACATGCAGCGATGGGAGCCTGGACAGCAAAACCCCCCTGGCATGAGGTGTTCTGATGGACTAGAGCTCCCACATTTCCTCACCATCCCTGCAAGATGCTGAGCCCCTCAGCTCCCGCTTGATTTCCTCCTTTTCTGTCCGTTACTGTTAAGCATTCATAGCCAATTCAGGACCGTGTAGGCTTCAGAGGGAGGTGGGGATAATTGATGCCCAAGCAAATATGCCCTTGATAGGGACATTCTTCAATTTTAAACCAGACAGGTAGGGACCTGACTGTCTTGCTGATGATGACAAACCTACCGTGCAATGTTGCAGCCTGCTAAAATATAAACACTCTCCTCAATTATGTATGCAAGCAATACCACCTAATTTGTGCGTACACACACACACACACACACACAAACACTTCAGGCAAATCTGTTTGTGCGCTTGAGATAGACTCTATTTATCTCAGTCTTGGAAATAAACAGGTGATCTTTCTTGTGAATTCAAGTTCAACTGTTAATGGCGAGGTTTTGCTTAACCGAAAGTCAGAGCTCACAATGGATTATTTAGAAGCCTTGTAATTCTGATGATATGAGTCCTCTACAGGAAGATAGCTCTAGCTCTGTTGGGTTTCACAGCGAGGATCCAAAGTGTTCGCCACCTCAAAGGTAGCTCTGTACAACAGACTTCTGGCATTTCTGATTATTGTGTGTATCGTGAAATCATTGCAAAAAATAACATCCCTAAGGCATGAGCTGAGCATTATACACAGAAGGTTAATGTTGTGTTGTACTGAGGACAGGGGATGTCTCAAGAATTATTGCAGATTGAGCTGAGACATAAATTCCTGCATGTCACACTACTCTGCCCTACTCACAGTGTGCACGACTTAAACCTGTGGTAAATACAAGGTAAACTGCTCCTCAGGGAAAGCTGTTCTTCATGTGTACCGGAGGGTGAGAATATGGTCATGGACAGTAGCTGACAGTGTGTCTTCACCCCCTCTCCTAGCCTGCAGAAACCTGTTTGTGTGCCCATTTTCCCCTAAAGGTGGGAATAGAAGGGCTGCAGGCCACGGGCAAGGCGGCGCTTGGCTGCTGTTTCTCAGCTAAATGCTGAGTTCATTAAGAGTCTTTTAAGTGGGGGAAGTTTGTGGGTTCGAGGGTGCAAGAGTTCATCGTGGGTTACTGGAAGAACTCCCTGGGAGGTGCGCTGGGGGTTTGCCAGAAGATCCTTCCTGAAAGAACAGACTAGCACCATCCAGCTGTGAAGAAAGATGAGGTCTCAAATTTGAGAGAGCTCAGCAAGGTGGAGGATCGAATCTTTTCTGGGCATGTGGTCATTCTTACACACCCTGTACCTGACCTGTGCCTGGCTGCTGTCTGACAGATACATTTTGTGCCTTGCCTCCCATCGCTGCTCCGTCAGCTTCACTTGCAGCATCCTCTGCTCAGATGGTATCTCCGTTTCCTTAATAAATGAGTCTAGTCTCTCCATTGATAAAATCTCCCTTTTTCCTACATCTTATCACTGCTGTTATGGAACAAAGAGGTATCAGCAAGCTGTAGATCTGTAAATGTTCTTTCATTCATCCATGGTATTTCAGCTTTCCACTTTTCAATGAGCTCCTCAGAGTGCTGCCTATTTCTGAGCCATGGAGTGTCAGAGTTGATGGAAAATGACCTTCTCCAAAGACACTCCATATTCTGAACAAATCTTTTTACTGATTGCTTAACCAATCCCATACAGCATACTTCTCTTCCCACCCACCTCCTCCCATTCCTCCCCTGAATTTTTATCATTACTGGAACTGTGGTCTTCCAAAGTGATTCATTTACTGACAACCATCTATTTTCCCCAGAAGCAGTTTAAGCTGTGGGCTACTTATTGCGCTACCTAAGTGTGTAGGATAATTATATAAACACTTGAAAGAAGGTGAGGGAAGCTTCCTTATTTCTGTCAGTGGTTTTGACTCATTTCATCTGGTTATTGGAGAGCTGGCTGGAACAGAAAATCCTGGGAGCTTTGAGGAGCAGGTTGGGGAGGAACATTAAGAAATACACAATCAGCTTTTCCGTTTTCATAGATCTATCTATTTTAATGTCTGAAGAGACCAGTGTGATCACCTAGTCTAACCTCCTGCATAGTAACGGCTGAAGAACATCAGCCAATAATTTCTGCATCGAAGCACGCTGAAAGGCACTTTGTACAGGACTTTTGAACAACCCCAGAATTAGGTAGTTTGGAATATGCTGGTGACTTAGACTGCCCTTTTTACACCTGTAAAAAATTCCCCTGTGCAAAACATCCACGCTGAAACAGTCTACAATAGTCAAAGAGGCATAATCCCGGCTTGCTCTTCTGAAAAGCAGAGAGGGAAGTGAATAATGGGAGTAGTCTCAGCCACCCACGTGGAGCCATATGCCCATAGTCATGTCTTTCCCAGGTCAGAGGTACGAGAAGGGAAGGAAGACACAGTGAACTCTAAGCCTTGACCCTTTCCTACTGTACCGAAGTCTAATGAAATGGATAGATCTCCAGAGGCTCTAATTATTGCCTCAACTCTGAAAACCTTGGAAGGACCAAACCCCATGGACCTTGCATGACCTGGCAAGGCTGGCTTTGAAGACGTACTGGACAGAAGCAGTGGCCCTACAGTCTTATTGTGGCTACTTCTGTAAAAGCCAGAAGGCATTTTAGTAAGGGAGACTGCATGTAGTATGGGCACCAAAGACAGAAAATACTGTTAAATAAGGATTAGGGCTGTTGTTAATTAAGATGAGCTGACTGGTGCTACTGTATAAACAGAAAGCCAGGAAATTCACTGGGAAGAAGTTGTTTTGGCTGAAAGATGTGTGGAGAACAATTTCAGAATTTGGAACAGGCTGTGCTGTCTAAATCATTTCTTTTCCCAATTTGCCTTACAAAAGTTAATTTACCTGGTTTCCTCAGATTTCCTCAAAATTAGACGCTTAAAAAATGTAAAGGTCAAAAATGACTTTCTGTTTTTCAGTTCAGCTAGTAAATTTAAAAAAATTTAAATCTTTTATGCTGTAAATGTGACTCAAAAGCCAGGGAGTGTACAGTAGCTTCCAAACTGCAGCAAGAGCCATGGAACAATTTCCTTCTCATGCCATGTTGCGTGCTGTGGATGGCTTCCAGTTTCCACCTCTACTTGGCCTCGGGCCAGAGGAACACTTGGCTGCTTGCATTCACTCGAGGTTTCTTATACTATTCCTTCCTGTTATGCAAGAGATTTGAAGAAATAAAAGTTGTTCAGATTCAGTGCAAAATACTAATGTATAACACTGCCAAACTCTTTCAAGAGTGCAAGGTTCTCTTCCAGCTCACAGCAAGTGGTCGGAAAGCAGATGTAGGTGGGTTTGCCTTCTGGGATCCTTTCAGGGGCCTCACATTCTCTTACCCATCCATTCAGCAATCCTTCTCCAGAGGAATTGTTTGTGTTCCTTAATTTCAGTTTATTGGCGGCACGGTGTCTTACATGTGCCACACCTCATGCTGACAAAATGTTACACGGACTCGTGACCTTGAAAGGTACACTCAGAACAGGAAGGGAGGAATTATACAAATAATTCACATTGCCAGCTGTATTTCCTATTCTTTGCCTTAACACCTTTGCCATTAAGTGCCTCAAACTTTTCAACTTCAATGCAGCTAGCATATATTCACTGGATAGAGTCGATGCATAGATGGCTGGCGGGATGACAGATGAGTTTCCCAGCTGTAGTTGTATGTCCAGGTGCATGGTTTAAACAGAATGAGATTTTACAGAATACCAATGTAATAAGAGAGAAGCGTTCTTAAATCACACGTACATGCATACATATACTATTTCTACATCATGAGCTGCAATATATTTAGTGTCTAACTCTGATTACTTTAATTACTGGAATAGTTCATACATACCAGAATAGAAAAAACAATTAATAGTAAAAACTTAGTACTATTTAGTGATATCAGCTGCAGATCTTAAAAGGTTTTCCAAAGGAAGAAAAGCATCATTTTACAGATGGGAAAGATGAATGCAGAAAGAGTAAGTTACATGGCCAAGATTCACTGGCAGGATTGGGAAGAGAACAGCTGTCTTCTGAATTTTGGTTAAGCATCTAAATCACAGCCATCTTCAGGTTTACACTGCATCGGGGCACCTTAATTGTTGAACAAATGTTTGTGATTCAGGGCATTGTATTCTTTGTACCTGAGACAAGTCTCCTCCGTCCCCTGGCCCGACACAGCCTGTAACCCCATTTCCGACCTGCCTATGTGGGTTTGAGGTCCTTCTGCTTGTTACGCTGCCATAACACTATGGTGTGTGTTAATGTTTGGTTTGCCAAAAGCTTTGGAAAGATTTATCCTGCTACTGTTAAGAAGTTTCCCTTCCCCTGCTGTACAGCGTATTCACCAACTGTTGCTACTCGGAGTTATGGTACCCATAACAATAGTTCTGGGTACCATAACTCTGGAATTTAATGTGGAGGACTTTTCCTGATCCTGCAATGCCAGTGCTCTGTACAAAAGAGAAGTATTTCAAAGCACTGAAAGACTACAAGTTCTTGGCCTAGGAGAAAAACAAAACTCTGATATGCTTAGGCTGATAATAAAATCATTCTTGCTTCAATGGGAAGATTATACAGATAGAGGGACCCAAACATCTGCACTGGGCTTTTCCTAGCTCATAGCCTCATGAAAGACTGGGAAAAGGCTTTAGGGGGGCAGAATATGGTCTTAACCTTCTACTGGACCTTGTTTTGGAGTCCAAGCCCCCATCTCCCACATACTCTTCTGCAAAGCCTCTTTGGTTCTTGCTTCTTATTTTAGTGCATGTTAGGATGATTTTTAGTCCTTAATATCTAACCTGCATCCCATGCAAAAAAGCTGTCCATTTTGATGAAGGAGCCAACCTTGGAGTAGAAATTCTTACCGAGTATAGTATTTTCAATTGAATTGTCATAGACTGATTCAGACTGCCATGATCATATATTATGTTTGAAAGATTTAATTTAGCCGACAGATGCAGTTTTCGTGGAACTGTATGATACGTGCAGTAGTAGTGAAAACAGAGAAACAAAAAATCCGCTTTAAAATATTTCTTTACTGTTTAGCTTTCTGCTCCTATTAGGTAATGATTAATAGACACAGAGGGGGAAAAATGAGCTTTTATTATTTTCATCTGAATGTTAAGAGGTGCTTTGTGAACAACCATAATTTCAGGGACTGCTTTGTCAGAAGAATTTCATGGATGGTAGTTTGTTAAGCTGATGAATTGTTTTAATTAGTCAGTAAAACACTATTTATGAGGAAACATATGACACTCAGAAAATTTGATCATTCTTAGTCACAACAGTATGTGACTAACCTCTCCTACCAGTAATTGCCAGAAACATGCTTGGAAATTATGTTTTATGAGGTTACCTTGAAAATTAACATATACTATATTAATTTTATAGGTGTAAAGAAACTCATTCAGTCAAGTCTGCAATATTACACTATAGCAATAAATAATCATAAAGGAAAATAAATAGTTTCTATAAGGCAAAAAACCAGGAGACAGGTCCATAGAGAGGTGCCACCTTGCAGAACCATATTCTTTCCTGTTTTGAGAATAAGAGAGAAAATCTGATTTGTAGCAATATTATTTCTCATCTTTCTCACTGAGGGCTAGGCAGTGCTATTATGGTACCGTCTTGTGGTGCAGAGGTCCCAGAGCATATTGAGCTCTCGGGTGAAGCCTTACACTCCCAGCTGGCCTCAGACAACATGAGGTCCTTTTCCAAAGATCCGACTCCCTCTCCATCCCCTGCTCGCTCTTTCCCACCCCCACACTGACCACCTCTTCTCCCCAAACTAGACATGCCCCTGCGCTCTCCCTTCCCGTCCTCCAGAAACCTCCATCTCTTCAAACCACGACTTAAAACATCTCCAGCCTTCCCCTCCTTTCCTAGCCCCCAGCCACAGCTTCAGCGTGGCTCTCCTCCTGGGGGAAGTTAGTGCCCTAAGGAAACCAAGGAGATGCTCTTTCTGTTCGTAGAAGAGAAAACAGTGAATAAAGACAAACTGTTTCACAGCAGGAGGAACAGAGGGGTAAGTCTTCTACTGAGCAGATGCGGAAGGACCAGGCGTTGTCCGGTCTTTTGGGCTTGATTCTCCTTTCTCTTTTTCTCTCTGTGTGCTCTCACAACAGTGCGGAGTTGTCTGAATAGAAATGAAAGCCAGAGGATTAATGTTGGGCAGCAACGCTCATTATTCAGCATAAAGGAACTTGACTCATTTCCCTGCACAGCTGAGATTTAGTCCCAGGGCTCCTGTTGACTCCTGCTCCAAATAAATCCCAAGGCTTCAGGCAGTGATTAGTTCTGTTCACTATGGCCGAATATTCCCTGCAAAACTCTTTTTCCAAGGAGATTTTTCCTTTCCAAACTACTTTCCTTTCAACTCTCCCTCCTGAAACGTTCTGCTGAGATGGCACTCACTTTTAAAACACAAATCAGAGTAGAGTAGAGTAGAGTAGAGTAGAATAGCCTAGCCTAGCCTAGCCTAGAATATTTGTGCCACAGGACTCAGGTTTATCTTCACAAGTCTCTTAATTGTATTCCGCTATCCATTGGAATTTTTCCAAACCCTGAACATCTTTAACAGACTCTATTACAGCCAAATAGTATGGCACATATACGGTTTAGTCCTGATGTGGTTAAAGTCAGTAACCCCAGTCACACTGATGTTTGGAAGTGTCCAGATGTTTGGAAGAGGCGTGCCAGCCTGGCATTTAGCACCAGACTCCCTATTCATTTCCTGACTTACGTGGCTGCTTACGTTCACCATCCCTAACAGTTTTCAGGTTTGTTACCTTCTTAGCAAGACTCTTGCGTTTACAACATTCTACTGCTGTTTACGGATTGTATTTTTCTTTCAGGTCCACATCTCATTAACGTTTGTCTGTCTTCATTAGTTGCCATCCGTTGTCTGGAGAGTGCAGCTGCAAAGCTGGCTGGGCTGGGCTGTACTGCAATGAGACCTGTCCCCCTGGATACTACGGCGAAGGCTGCCAGCTGACCTGCCCTTGCCAGAACGGTGCAGATTGTGACAGCGTCACAGGGAAGTGTACGTGTGCACCAGGATATATGGTAAGTGAGAGCTGTGAATAATGGGCCATTTTGTAAGGTACCTGTAAAAATTGAAGAGGATTTTAATCTGTTTTCAAATAATATTTGCATAGAAGTGGCCAAATGCAGGTGATTTTTCCCCATTCTATTATAAGTCTACATAATTCTCCTTTGAGCAGTGTCAACTTACTACTTCTGGTTATTTACTTAACATTAGTATTGTAAGTTTATTACTATTATAAGGATAAAGACATGGTTTCCCATCGTATATTCTAAGTCAAGACGTAACAAAAAAGATGTCAGATTATTGTCTGCCTGGAAGAGCAGAAAAAGAATTCGCATGGCCTTTCAGCATGTTCCTTGTCAGTCACTCTGTGATTTTAATAGATGAAGATCTTTTAAAATGTTACAAATGATAGAGCAATTTATGTCTTTTCTGAGCATATATGGCAGGTGTCTTTTACCTGAGCATCAGAAAGAGCTTCAGACATTCTGAAGTAAACAAGCATTACATTTTATAGATGAGATATAAAATGGCTGAAGAAATCAGCCAAGATGAAACAACAAAAATTTAGAATTAACGACTGCCAGGTTGCAGCAGAAAGTATTAGGACGTGGATCCAGGTGCCCAGTCCTGCTACAGCCAGGTGTAATGGAATAGTAAGTTCCCTGGTCATCCTCTTTAGCTCAGGAGCACACCATGGAAGAGATCTGCAGGCTGTGTTTAAGAAACAATACTTCCTAAAGAAAAAAAAAAATTCAAGAGAGAATTCCACCACAACTTCATTAGCAGTTGTCTTTCTGTCATTCGTGTCCTTAATTTTACATGGCCTGTACCCACAGGCCTATCTATATGTTTTCAATACTATTATAATATAGTTACTATAATGTATAGTAATATGATTACTAACTTTACTAGAAATCAAGCATCAGATTCAAAGACATTCCCAATATTTTTAGAGCTTCCACTGACATTTAGCAACCAACTGAACTGTGCAGCCTCCTCGCTGAGTTTTACCCTCTCTTGTTTTAAGTTACAACTTCAACATGAGCTGAATAAATATCTTCCAATACTAGGGAGCATGAGATGTTATCTTTGACCATGTTGTAGCTCTTTTGATTTGCATTTATGAAACATGGTGGACGTTGTACCAGGTAGCTGTTTCTGCAAAGGGAGGGGAATGTTGGATGTGGACAGCAGAGCAGCCACGTCCTACCATCCGCACCCGCTGTAGTGCTTAGGGTTTTCTTGAAAAAACCGTTGCGGTATTCTGCAGGGTCATACGCTGCTGTCCTCTCTAGGGGAAGGGTGCACAGCTGTGTGACAAGACCCATAGCGTGGGAGTCCTATATGAGATTAGTGGGATGCTAAAGCCTTTGTAGTCTCCCTCCCTTTTAAATCTACATCTGAGCTTGGCAACACCAACCGTCATCTCCAGAACTGTGGAACTGGAGTTCTGGCTTAAAGACACTTTTGTTCTCTGCTTCATGTCAACAGCTGAACTGAAAGTTGGAGCTTCCATCTAATTTCCAGGGGTTCTCGCAGTGCCAGGTATAAACAGATTTATTTAGACATGAGAGGTAGAATTGTCAAAAGCATCTGTGCAAGACAGTAGTACTTAGAGATGTAAAAAAAAAAAAGAAGAAAAAGATTTTAAGGTTTGATTCCCCACTGACGCTAACAGAAAACAAGAATTTATCTTCTCTATACAGTGGTGATACACAAGTATTAATATAAAGTAGAGGAAAGAATGAAGGCAGCAGCGTGTTAGTAACAAATGCAAAATAAAAAGATACCCCGATTCTCTTTCTTAGCAGGAGTGCTGTTCAAGTTTGCAGCACAAAAATATTTTGGGACCCTTTACTATACACATTTTTTTAAAAAAGCATAGTTTGTCCAATATATATTGCTCCAAGACAGTATTATTGCAGGCACGAAGCCTGAGAAGTTCCTATTGCATTGCTTCAAAATAATATTTAATCTCATAATAAAGAGCTTTCTTGCATTGACATTTAAACAGCTTGGTTATTGAGGATAGCTCTATAATCACTGAAGCATATTTAGGCATTAGTATCATTGCTCTCTCATAATATACTATAATCTCTGGCAATTAGTCCATGAGGGGAAGTAAAGCCTTGAAATTGCTAATTTATTGCCTCTGAAGCATATTTGTCATTCGTATGCACGCCAGCTGACTTGAGTTGCAACGGTTCTTTCAAATGCTAGAGAACACAGGCTGTAAAGAAAACTTGACAGGAACCTTTACTTCCTACCCCGGAACGGTGGTGTCCTGCCGAGCTGCTCTTGCTGTACGCTCCATCGTCTGGGCAGGGAGAAGGTGTCAGCACCGCTTCACGATGAAGCCTGCAGGTCAGGGGCAAGATGCTGCGGGGGCCAGAACCCTCTCAAGGCTCAAAGTGGCTTCTCTCAATGACACACTCCAGACCAGACTTTGCCTTCAAATACGCCTGCCTGCCTCTTGCTGAGGCAATGGGGAGCTTTGCCTGCGGGTAGAATTTTGCCCTTGAATTCAGCTAGCCTGCAAGAGAGTGGCGCGACTGTTCATGAATGCAGGATGTCTTTTTTGGCAGCGCTGACAATGGAGTGATGCTAATACAGAGCTGGGCAGAGCTCATTATTCAGAAAAGCCATAAATGAATCCCTCTTGCTTTTTCTAGCATGAGGCTTGGCTGATGCAGCTACGGGATCAGGAATTTTGCCATGCGATTGGAAAGAATGAAAGTGGGATCAACACCTTACATTTTACAGAAAGGTTTGATCGACGCACGATCTTATAGAGCAGAGCAGGCCGACGGGTTTCTAAGTAAGGGGGGAAGGAAGAGGATAGGATGGGATATAACTGCAAAGGCAGAGAGGTTGGACCCGTAGGACTTCTGGGTTACTGGATGCCTAGAAAACGTAGCGACCAAGAAATGTCAGTCTTTTCCTGATAAAGCACTCCTCCAGCCCACTTCTTTTGCACAGATGGCTTGTTTTTTAACTGTGCCCTGCCTTGGCTGTGTCAGGGCAGCTGGGCTGGGTTTCAGAATGAATCATCTGCGATCGCAGCCAAAACAGGGACATTTTGTTGGGATGCAGAACAAGCCATTAAAAACACAAAGCATCTGGTCACCTTTATTAAATGTATTAAGTGGAAAGGCAGCTGTCCCATAGGTTGACATGTACGTGAGCAGAGCACTTAATTTTTGGAAGTTAAGCAGATTCAAGTTTTAAAATAAAAATGTACATTGTAGCTCAGAAAATAATACATTATTTATTAGCTGTGACATTTCCAAAAATTCAAATGCCAAAGCTAAATATTGGTGAGCTTGCAGTTTTGGAGAGAATTTCAAAACATTTTATGTCTTCTTTTTTTTTTGATGAATATTTTGGGTCAGACTCAACAACCGGATTTGCACATACCTAGCTCTAAAACCAAATTACACTGTTGTAAAGACGTTATTGGGTACTGGTACAGGTTATTTGTATGAGGTTCTGTTATGACTGTGCTTGCACTAGAGGATTGAACTATATTAACTGTATGGGTGTCTAAACCACAGATTCAGTAGGTTTGACTTGAAGAGGTAACTGAGAAATCTGATTGATCCACAATCGTACCCAAAACAGGCCAGTGCTTGGAGGCGGCATACAGAACAATAAAAATAGGATAATAGGACCAGAGAAGACACAACCAAATCTTCTTCCCCAAAATCACAGAGCCTGTCTAGAGCTACTCCCCACGTGCTCCAACAGCACAGTCCACGCTGCAGGGCTGTTGGAAACCCTGCGCTTACTGCATCTCACTTGTGAGGGAGGAGAAAGGTCGTGTCAATTTAATTAAGATGATTGCAGGAAATCATCATGATAAGCGTGCCAATAGGGCACTTCCCTGAAACTGGTATTTTTAACATATTTGAGGATTGCCTCTCAGTACTCATGTGATGAATTGTCAGCGATGCTTTCCTGAAGAATGAGTTTGAAAAGCCATTCTACTGCCGTCTCATTTGTGGCAAGAAGGAATCTGATAAACACGCACAGGGAGTACGCAGAGATTAGCCTTAAAAAGTATACAGGGACATCCTTGACTGGTAGAAATTGGATCCTTACTCCCACATGCAAATAGTTGCTCCTTGCAATAAATTAGTTGGATGCAATTATGGGGTTGGCGAGAGGGGTTATACTAACTTGTTCCTCCCCCTCCTTCCAAATTCTGCTTTAAGATGTTCTCTTACAAGTCCGTGGAAGTCAGTTGTGCAGTAGGGATGTAAAAGAAATGAAGATTTGCCCTGTCCTCTCTTCTTTTGTTTTTGGTTCATTGAATTTTATTCCTGTAATTCAATAAATGTGGTGAAGAAGGCCAGAGGATATGAATTAAATATGACAGGAGACCACAGGAATCCTGACCTTCTGTCTCACAAGGATATCTTGCAACCAACCCCCTGCACGTACCTATCAGCATTCTAGCTACCGAAATCATTATAAATGCTATTGAAATACAACTAAGTTCACCTTCCCCATTGCACAGCTAATTGCAACTTTCTTGAAAACAGTAGCTATCTAGAGACCTCATCCTGTGATATGCCTTTGTTTCTTTATGGATGCTTTGTTTTCTTCCTTTGAAAAATGGATTTAACTTCAAATGCTTTCATTCTGTCTATTGTGGCAAGGAGATACGTAGTTAAAACATTTCGCAGCCCAAGACACTCTGAGAAAACTTTAACACTTATCTATGGAATGTGCGGTCAGCTTTTACTTCAGCGGGCACTTAGGTCTATATTTCACATCTAGATGACAGAACTTATATTACTTTAAAGAGTTCATCTATTTATGCTGCAATTTTTTGAAGACCTGTCTGCTTTTATTGAACCCTGCATGCTGGCAAGCAAAGCTAGCACTTCATCACCAAAATGAAAGAACTCATTTTGACATTTTTCTATTCCTCGACTATATTGGTAGATCCCATACAAGCCAATCACAGTACAGGAAAGTATGGAAACTATAGGAGTGATGACCTCTTACT